ATCTGTTCCAGTAACATACCTGTGACCATGCTTCTCCTTAACAAGGATCAGTGTCCCTAAGGCAACTGACCAATCCAGCCCCAAATGTTTGTCCTCCTGTCCTGTCATCCACATCCACCAGGGGGCTGTAGTCTTGACCTTGTCTAGTATTCCCAGCCCCCTCCAGTGACAAAGTAAAAGGTATCACGAATTGGGTTTATCCCAGAGGTAACTGGTCAGGGGAGGAGGTGGGACTGGGTGGCATCACCCACAGCCTGACCTACTTGGCATTCTGCCTACCACCTCTCCTGTACTGGGCACTGGTCACTAATTTTCAGCATGCAGGTCTCAGCTGACTGGCTTTCTGAGCTATTCTTTGGGCTTAGTGCCTGCCTGGCCCACCTCCACTCAGATAAGGGATGAAGAGGGCTGCCACAGTGCTGCTGGGCAGCAAAGACAGACATCAAAGACTCCTCGGCTTTCACCTGGCAGGCTGGCTGAGAGTTCAGTGTGCCAAACCTGGGATCCCTGGGCATGTGAATGGATGTCTCTGGAGTGTTCCAGAAGGGTGAAAGATCTGGGATGCCTTCTATCTTTCTGTCCCCTTTCCTGCCTGAAAGAAGCAACTGAAAGATTTCCCTGGTGCATTGTGATGTAAAAGAATCTTCTTCCATCCTTCAGTTTTCTGGAGCAAAATGGGCATGGCAGTAGTTCCACTTTGTAGGGTCACTGGGAGGGCCAGGAGATTGCACACAGCACTATGAATACAGCGTGGCTGGCCAAGCAAAGCTGACATTCAAGTTCTCAGCAGCTTTTCACAACTGTTATTCTCCCTGTTACAGGAGAGGCTCTGAGATGTTAATTAAGTGCCTGGTTCAAGGTGACCCTGATGCAGGGTTCAGCAGAGCGGGTCCCATACACAATCTGACTCCCTTATCTGCCAGAGCTCACAAGCTGGTAGGAAAGACATTCCCAGTAGGGGGGCCTATGGCCCGATGACGTCACCTCCCTGAGAGCTGAGCTGGATTCCAGGTTGGGACCTCCCCCAACCCCGGCTAGCATGCATCTAGCCCCCACACAGTCTTGTGATTCCCTGCTGACCAATGATACAAAGACCTAAGTAGTAATATACACTGGAAATGGCTAGAATAGGGAAGTAGGGCTTGGTTTTCAAGCTTCCAGGGCCAGGGGGTGTGAGGGTGTGGGGGTATGGGCATAGCCTAGACAGGTGACTCCAGGATACTTAGGCATATCCTGGTAACCATGGAGCTGTGTGGCTCTAAGAACTTTAATCCCCTTAACAATTCTATATGGATATTGTCACTTCTTTTTAAGGAGCCAGACCAGAGGGCTAATGACTTGTTCAGGTCCCAACAGCTGGAGCATGGCAGACCAAAGACAGAATCCAAGCCAAGGTGTTCCTACCCTTAGAAAAGGTCTGGGAGAGGTCTTGGGCAAGGGCCTGAACAGGATCTTGTGGACCCATACTTAGTATTTCCCCACAGCTTGGACCAGAATGCAGCTGGCTGATTTAGAGGGCATAGAATGGACACACCTTGAGAACACACATCCGGAAAGCCAGAGTGGGGTGCTGGGCTGGGAGTGCCTGGCTGGTGCACAGGGCCATTCATGGGTTAAGGGGACCAGGGCTCTGCCCATCTCCACATCAGGAACCAGAAGCACCCCAGGGACCTTCAGGGACACTGTCAGCCTGGTCTCTGCGTCAGATCTGCTGGCCAGCCTCCCACAGATGGTCACTCTTCCTGTGTACTGGCCGAACAGCACAGCTGTCTCTTTAAGTGACTCTGCACTTCTCTCCGCACATCCATTTTGAATTATCAGTTAAATTCTCAGAACAGTTTTTGCAAGAACTGGGGCTTTTCCTGTTACTCCATCGCTTCTTTACATCTGCCTCCATATTTCCTCCTTTCTCCTCCTAAATAGGTGTGGGGAAAAAATAGCTAGAATTTATTTCCCAAATCTAATATAAACACACACAATCCTTGTAGTCCCCTGCCTGCCAAATTGCAGCAACGGACTCTAACCACAAGTGGGCGCTTTTGCAGGCAACACCACTCTGAACAGAAGCCAGAACAGGTCAGGGGCGACATAGTTCAGGCTTTGCCTGAGGCTTTCTGTATTCAAGGATGGTTGCATTTACTGGGGGTATCTGTTTTTCAAGTGCCTTAGGGTCCTAACATTTCACCATATTAGACAAAAAAGGTCATGTGCTCAGTGGCAGCCATCCTGGGGAGAACAAAAGCTAAACAGTTTTAATGTGGCAGAAAGGGGTACCTGGAAGTCTCTTGCTCATCCCCCCTCCCACTGATAACAAGCAGTGGTTCCCTGATGCCCCCGCCACCACCACCAAAGTGGTGTTACCTGGAGAAATCACTTCTGGTCAAGGTCACCACTGTCATTGCGTAGGACATACCAGTTTTGGGTGTTTGTATAAGACTTTTTGGGAAATTTTATTATATTCTAGAAATTTTCTTCCAACACTGATTCAGGTACAAGGTACAGAAAGGAATAAAATGACTGTCTTAAATATGCCCTTTCCTCTGTAGGTCAGTGCTGAGGTAAAGAACCAACTAACACCCCAGGACACAGGCTCTGAATGCTACCACACAGCAGAGTATGGCCTGAGATGGCACAGAGGAACATAAGCAGATGCAACAGACATCTTCATGGTGCCCCCCAGGAACCAGGCACAGCACTCAGTTCAAAAAGTCAAAGTAAAATGCAAACCCTATCCTTAAAACAGGACAGGCCCATGGCTGGTGAGACAGTAAGACCACAATAGAAGACAAGTCAACCGTTAAAAAAGTGGAGGTGCAGAAGGGGAAGAAAGTTGCAAAAGCTTCGAGGCTGGTCAAACATCACCAACACTTGAGGAAGTAGGTGCGTTTTCTAGTGAGAGGAGCCTACTACCCCATGACAATGTCCTTTTTGGTGGTGCTATGCCTGTAATTGCAACACTCAGATTGCCATGAGTTTGAGGCCAGCCTTGGGGACATAGTACCAAATCAGCTAGGGGTGCAGAGCAGGATTCCATCTCAAAAACATGATGAAATGTTAGAACCTTAACACTTCTGAAGAAATGGAGACCTCCCCTTCCAATAAAACCACTAGCTATACACCCACCCCTAAGCTGTTTGTTTTCTTTTTGAGATAGAGTCTCACTATTTAGCCTTGACTGTCCTGAAACTTGCAATGTAGACCAGGCTAGCCTTGAACTAAACAGACATCTACCTGCCTCTCCCTCCAAGTGCTGGGATTAAAGGTGTGCGTGACCATGCCCAGCTCCCTAGCTGGTTCTTGTAGCCACATGTGGAATGTGTTGGAGGGAACTCAGGAGTTAGTCCCAAAAGTTCAGGCAAGAGATGAAGGGGGTTGAGCAAGAAATAGAGGCTCCCTGGGGGCTGCCAGTGCTGAAAAGGTAAGATGACAGGGTTCTCAAGACTATGAGAAAGCCAGTGGGGTTAAGGGCAAGCAGCAGCGTTTGGCCTATATTTTCAGTGCGCCTCACAGCCAAGAAATGGGCCGTTTGAAACAGAGGAAAGGCAGGCTATTTCCACCAGCTCAGATTGTCTTCTGTCTTGAAATTAGTCATGGACTTCAGGGCCCAGTACAACCATACACTGAAGCCCCCACCTGACATCAAGACTTGGCAAACAAGGAACAGCACCTATGGAGGTCTGAAGCCTTTGCTTAAATGAAATTTCTGTAAAAAAGGAAATCCCAACAGCAGGGCTAACTCTGGTTAGGAGACTAGGGAGCAAACAGCCCCAGCTGGGAGACAACAGCTCCTGCCTTTCAGGGAAAAGCCCGAGGACACATGCCCAAGGGGCTGAGGAGTCTGTGGACAGGTCTGCTCTAATCCCTAACTCAGGAAGCCAATTATGGGCTGGGGTCTCTGTGCTCACATCACCTCCACTGAGACCCTCTCCCAAACTACTCTTCCTTAGGCCAGAGCATGGCTGAAGAAAGTCCAACATAAGGACACATAGGCCCCTTGTTCTTGAGGAAGTCTGGCAGACTAGGCTTTGGTTGTCAGGGCCTGGTGCCAGGTAAGGGAGAACCCTCAGGCCTCAGTCTTTTCCTGCCCAGGGATGTGGGAATTTGGCCAGGAGCTGGGGGTGGAGAGGGACAGTTTGGCAAAGTTCATTCCAGGGGCTGAGGAGTATATGGGGGCAGGGAGGGGAGCTGCCTCCACGTCTAGTCCTACGAAATAATGAGGGACCAAGGATAGAGCTCAGTTGGTAGAGTGCTTGACTAGCATGCACAAAACCCTGCATTCCATCCCTAACTCTAGGACATGGAGATGCATGCCTGTTATCTCAGCACTTGGGAAGTGAAAGCAGGAGGATCAGAAGTTCAAGGTTATCCTCAACTGCCTATTACGTTTAAGTCAGCCTGAGCTACAAAAGAAAATTTGGCCTTTCTAGGTCTGGGACACAGTCTGGGTATCTTGGCTTCAGACCTATCTTTTCTTCAAGGCTCCAGCAGGGGGCAGTACAGCCCCTCTAAGGCCAAAGGGCTCCACCCTCCTCTTACATTCAGGCCCAACCTTTTATCCCTCCAAGACCCAGGCTGCAAACCGTTCATCCTCTGCAAGGAGTTAAGCCTTGGGGAGACACAGGGAGCCTCAGAGAAGGAAAAAAACAACAAAAAAGTTTATTTAATCAGAGAGCCTCTGAAGGCACCTGGTTTCTGTCAGTATGAAAAAAGGCAGTAAAATGGCAATGGGTGGGGACATGGGGAACAGGGAGGAGGCAGCACAGAAGGAGAGAAAACTTCAGATCATGTAATACATCAGTCAATCCTGGCCCCTGGCTAGGCAGGATGACAGGTAGTTACATCCTCTCTCTCTCTCTCTCTCTCTCTCTCTCTCTCTCTCTCTCTCACACACACACACACACAATCTTGAATGGAGGGCAAAGTAGGAGGTCTTAAGGGCTTAAGGGATTAGGGTTATATGCCCTGGTTACATGGCTCAATGAGATTTCAAAAAAAGCCCTGGAGACTGGAGCCTCTCATGCTCAGCTTAAGCAGGGATCACTCAGAACTATCAGAGACTGCCCCCTTGTCATTCTGACCCCAAGCCCACAAGTCCATCTGTAGAGGCTTGTTCCCCGAGGCCTGGACATCCGGGTCCAGCATAGGCCAGAAGAAAGCAGACGTTGGCTAGAAGAGCAAACCTCCGGACGCCCTGCTCATCCGTGGGGTACGGAACCAAGCAGGAGGTAGGCGGGCAGTGCAGTCCTTCTGTCTCTACATGATTGGTCACACAACTGCCCGTAGTAAGAAGGAGAAGACGGCCCCCAGTGCCAGGCCCAGACAGAGAAAGAAGGCCATAACGATTCCTGCTGTCTCCGCCTCAGCTGGCTTGACTTTCCTAAAGGAAGAGGCAGGGTGACTTTAGGACAGACCAGCCCAGCCCAGCCCCAGCCAACCCTCTATGTTCCCAAACCCAGCCCACTTCTTGGGAGAATGTATCCTGGGCCCAGCCTCCATCCTGCCCTGACCACCTCCCCACAACTCAGTGTAAGCACACATGGGCAACCTTCACCTCCACTCCCTCAAACTGCACTATTTAGGCATTGGGCCCCCACCAGCATCTCCCACGTTCAGGATGAAGAAGTTTCTGATTGCTATCTCTTCCTCTACTGAGTGACCCCTCTGGAGCTCGAAATTAAACCCTGCCTAATGCCACAGGATTCCCAGCAGGTCCCACTCACTCACTTGGGCCCGAAGCACATGCAGAGGCTGGCGAGGTAGCCATTGGAAAAGGCAAAGGCAGCCATGAAGATGATGAACCAGGAGTCATGCTTGAAGACCACGGGCAGGTAGTTACGAGGCTTCACGTTGCACAGCAGGAACAGGGGAATAAACACTAGCCGGGCCACTATCAGGCTTGGCAGCCAGCGGCTGTCCTTATCAGGCTACGAGGAATAGGCATGACCTCAGTCCAGAGGCCTGGTTACCCTCAGGGGTGCTATGAGGAGCACAATGGTGACTGTGGGATACTGGATTTTCTTTTCTTTTTGTCTTTTTGAGACAGGGTCTCCCTGTAGCCCCAGCTGGCCTGGGACTCGCTATGTAGACCAGACTGGCCTTGAGCTCATAGAGATCTGCCTGCCTCTGCCTCCTGAGTGCTGGGATTATGCCACCGCGTCTGGTGCTCGTTTCTTTTTCTTTCTTTCTTTTTTTATTTATTATTTTTATTTTATGTGTGTGCATGTATTGCCTGCATGTAGGTAAGTGCACCCGTGTTGTGCAGTGCCCCCGGAGGTCAGAAGAGGCTGTTGGATCCCCTAGGACTGGAGTTAACGGACAGCTGTTGGCTGCCGTGTGGGTGCTGGGATTCGAACCTGGTTTTCTGCAAGAACAACCAGTGTTCTTAACTGCTGAGCCATTTCTCCAGCCCTCTTGTTTCTTTTTTGAGACAAGTTCCCAGGCTGGCCTCAAGTTCACTGTATAGCCAAGAATGATTCTCCTTCTTCTGCTTCCCAAATGTTGGGATTACAGGCCTGCACCACCATGCCTGCCTTATGAGGTCTGGAGACTGAACTCAGGGTTTCATGAAGTTTCCTAGGCAAGCACTCTACCAACTGAGCCACTTCCCCAGCCCCCTGATCTGAGTAGATGTGTGTGCATGCATTTCCATATACCAACTTATATACTTAAGAATTGTACACATGAGTTGGAGAGATGGCTCAGGGACTATGAGTTAAGTATTGCTCTTACAGAGAACCTGATTTCAGTTCCCAGCATCTACATCAGTAGGCTCACATCTATCTGTAACTGCAAGTTCCAGGGGATCCGACAGACAACCTGTGAGCCCTTCACTCACATAATTTTAAATTTGCACCCACACACACAATTTTAAAATAAATTTTAAACTGAGAGTGGTGGAGCATGCCTTAGATTCTAGCACTTGGGAGGCAAAAGCAGGTGGGCCTCACAGTGAGATCCGTCTTAGACAAACAACTAAAAATACCTGTATACATGTAGTTACTCATAAATTATGTCTAGTTTTGAAGGAAGATGGCCCCCTTAGGACCATGCTTTTCCTCTTTCTTTCCTCCTTTTTTTTTTTGCAGACCTACAGGGAGAACCCAGAGCCTCACACATGCTAGCTAAATACTACACTCTTCCACCAAGCCCACCCGAAGCCCCACCACTGTAGTTTCTTGGGTTCCTTCTCTAGGGACTCCCTGTGGGAGTCCATCCTCTACTTACCCACATGCAAACAGCTGTGAGGCTCCTGCCCAGCCAATCAAAAACATTGAAAGTCAAGAAACAAGACACAGGAACAAAGTAGTTTTCTGAAAGAGGAGAGAAGAAACATATAGCACGTGACCCTCACCAGGCCTCAGCCTTGTCACTGTACAACAGAAGAGATGTTTCTAGCCCAGGGAAGGGCAAATAGGCCCACAGGGGTCCAGCTGGGTACAAGGTAACTCAGGCTATCCACACCCTGCTCCCAGTACTGCTCTAGAGTCTGCTGAACCCATCCTGGGAAGCCATGGCCACTTACTCCAGGCACTGGTGCCGGCAATGCTGGATTCGACCTCAGCAGTCACAGCGGGGAATAACCCAATGGTGACCATGAAGTTGAAGCAGATGGAGAGTGCCAGGACTGAGATCTACAAAGGGGAGAGAGATTCACCAGGTCCCTGGTTGTTCATGGTGATTGTGCATAAAAGATGGAGAAACTCCCAACACACACACACACACACACACACACACACACACACACTCACTCTCTCTCTCTCTCTCTCTCTCTCTTTCTCTCTCTCTCTCTCAGAGTACGTACAGGAGGGAAGCCAGGAGAGGGCCCAGTCTTGTATCAGAAAGGGAGGTGATGGCAGGGTAGACAGAGTAACAGGAAGAAAAGGGTGAGAAAGAGAGGGAAGGACCCCCAACCCTACATACACTCTTGAGGATGGCTTTTACAGAGTGGCTTCTGCTGGTGGGCACAGAATTGGGGGCTGGTACCCCAGGTTCCTCTCTCCCTGCTCTTGGCTCTTCTCCTGGTGGGTGAAAGGTTGTAGAAAGATCTTTAATTTGTAAGGAAGACAGAGCAACAGGTGGAGTTAGAGGTATATACTTCCCTAAACTGGCTGGGCCACAGTCATATCCTAATCCCCCATAGATCTAAATAGGCAGGACTCCAACTCCTGGAACCTACCCTTCCCTCGGGAGGCTCAGGTTATTCTCTACTCTTCACAAACTGTTACTGAGTGCCTTCAGTCCAAATGCCTGAGGCATTCAGGGTCATCCAAGACCTCTTTTTGTTCCTTTAAAAAAAAAATTTATGTGTATGAGTGTTTTGCCTAAATGTAAGTACACCTTTGAATGCAATGCCCAAGGAGATCAGAAGAGGGCATCAGATCCCCTGGAACTTGTTACAGATAGTTGTTAGGGGCCATGTGGGTGCTGGGAACCAAATTCAGGTCCTCTGCAAGAGTAGCCAATGATCTTTACTGCTGAGCCATTACTCCAGCCCCTTTCTTTCTTTTTGAGACAAGATTTATATAGCCCAGTCTAGCCTCCGACTTGCTGTGTAGCTGAGTATGACCTTGACCTTATGATCCTCCTGCCTCTAGTTCCCAAATGATAGGATTATATGTATGTACCACCATACCATTTTATGAAGTGCTGGGGATCCCAGGGCTTTGTTAAGTACTACTCCCTGATCTAAGCCCCAAGATCTCTATGTTATCTTTCCCAGGTCTGATTCCTATTGTCTCCCTCACTCCACCCATGGTCACTCTGCTGACTCGTGGTTGCCAAGTACTACACTCTACCCATGGCTTATCCCCTTTGTTGATGCCACCCCACCCAGCTTCCTTCAGGAACTGAGACCTTTACTGATGAGATCCAACTTGGTCTCCTGCTCTGCAGGCCCTTCCAGCTTCAGCTGCAGGTAGTAGCGATAGAAGTCCTAACCAGCAAGATAAGACAGAGACGATAGAGTCAGAGGCATCTCCAGAACCCCAGCTTACCCCAGGCTTCAACCTCAAGACACCCTTATTCTGAAACCCTGGACCCTTCCCCGTTCCCCAGCTTCCATTTGCTCACCAGTCGGGGCAGAGCCAGGTAAGACACGATAGCCAAGATGACAACTGCACAGGCTGTGATGAAATAGCCAAAGGCACTTTCTGACAGCTCTGAACCACCTGAGGTGGACAGTGCTCATGATGAGACAGGTCCCTAGTCACTCCCCACCCACCATCCTGGGCAAAAAGTGGGAGGGGCAGTAGGACTCACTGGCAATGGCACAGATCATGGCCACAGAGGCAAAGAAGCCAGCCAGGCCCTGGCCACTCATGATGGGGGCTGTGTAGTTGGCAGGCAGGAGGCCAGCCAGACCAAAAAGGCTGCCTTGCAAAATGGCACCAAATGCTGGGGAAACAGGGTAGACATCATCACATCAGCAGGGGTGGGAGGCTAGAAGTTGGGGAGTTCTCAGGAATCACAGGGACATCTTTACCCAAACTGCTTTCTCTCAGCCCCATTCCCAAACTAGGCCCCAAGCTCCCCATAGAGTCCGTCCCTTCCCAGCCCCAGCCTACAATTAATGAGCATGATCTTGATCATAGTGATGATGAAGAAGGGCAGAGCATCCATCTGCACCTTCACCAGGATGGCAGTGGTCAGGAACACCAGCAGGATGACCACCAGGCTACCCAGGATCCGCACAGATTGAGGAATCCTGCAGGAGAGGTGGGAGATTGGAAAATGCATGGAAGGCAGGCAGGCCAGGGTGCAGGCTCGGGGTACCTATCAAGGCTTGGGGGTTCACCTCTGATGCAGGAATGAGTTGAGACAGGTGAACAACAGTAGAGGCAGCATGGCACACAGAGTCATGACGTTGTTGAAGATGGCACTGAGAGAACTCTGCTCTGGCAAGGAGACTGTAGGGGCAGCCAAGGTCTTGGTGTCTTTGCTCTGTTCGGCAGTGACCAAGGATGTATTCTGGGACAGGTCCAGGCGGTTTGTGAAATACTGTGGGGTTTGCAGAGGGGAATGTTGGAATCTCTGTCCCTCTCTGTACATAGAACCAAGCCCTCCACCTTCAGCGGACATGTCTTCTGGAGCCCAGCCCTTCCCAGCCTCACCTGAGTGGCAGTCATGAAAAAATTCCAGGGGAGCAGCGTCCCTAGGCCCAGCACAAAGAAGATAAGCCATACCGCCTTATACCTGGATAGGAGAAGGAAAAAATGACCACCCTCCCTCCCGTTCTGTCTCTCCAGCTGTCCCAGGTGTGTTTGTGTCTGTGACTACCTGTCCTTCTAAGAAGTGTTGGGGGATGTGTGGGTCCTAGGATATGGAACAAAGCACAAGATGGGTCAAAGGAAGAACCCTAGCGACACAGGTCCAAATACCATGGCCAACAGGACCTGTGCTCTCAGTCCTAGAACTTAGGGAAATCAGCCGGCTGGGAAATTGTGACCCACACATCCGGAGATGGTTTTGGAACTCCTACTGAAGGGTGGGCGGGCAAGAGAGAAAGCAAACACAAGCCTCTTCCACCCCCACCAGGCAGGCTGGAAGTGATTATACTGTCTGGGCAGGAACTGTGTGGTTCCCTGAAGAGGAGTCTGAGGTCAAGAAACTCCGAGCCCATTCTAGATCCAGTGGGACACATGGTCAGAGTGCCTGGGGAGGCTGGGAAGGAGGGAACTATGTTTATTTCTTTCTTTCACCCCTGACTAGACAAAACCAGCTTTGTAGGTCAAACTACCTAGGGCAGGCCAGGAGGAGTAGGGCCTCTGGAAGTCATCAAGGTCTGAGCGTAAATAAGAGCCACCCGGCTTTGGCCAGGTCACAATCCCTGGGGAGTCCTTGCTTGCAAGCATAGCAACCCTATAGTTGTCAGACATCTGGGTAATACCCTCTCCACAGCCAGCACCTTCATGGCTTCACAGAGATGGTGGGGAGGAGGCCCAATGTAGTGAGGCAGGTCTTGGACCTCTGCAGGCCTCAAAGGGGACAGCTTGGCTAGTAACCCAAATGGGCAGGTCTGAGCCACAATCGCTGAAGTCCTCAAAGCCCTTATGTACTCCCTTTGAGGTCAAGATACTCAAGCCTTAGTCCAGATGCCCAGATAGAGGGCAAAGCTCTAAAGCAAGGCTGCACAGGACAGAGGGACAGAAGACAAACTGATGAGCCAGGCAGCAGGGCAATAAAGTAGGGACAGTAGGAAGAGAACTTCAAGAGGCTGACAAGGATGAGGGGCTGGGGCACCAGGCAGCTTAGGAAGGGAAAGAAGGCAGGAAACCAGTACCTACACTTTATTTTCTCCCCTCAGAAAACAGTCCCAGGAAACCTCTGAGAGATCAAGCTAAGGTAAGGTGCTCAGGACCCTCCAATGAGCAGGGGACTAATTCCGTAGCATTTGGGCAGGAGGGAAAGTGGGTGGGTAGGGGAATTGGGAAGGGTTCAGGGACCTAAGGTAGGAGACGACAGAGCCTGTATATGTAAGGAGTGGTTCATGGACTCATCAATTTTCTCAGGCTCCAAACTCTTTGGAGAACTTGACTCAAGAGCCTTTGCCACCAAAACACACATTCCCCACCTTAACTAGCTTGAGTAAGTTTACAGGCTCCAGAGGCAAGAGAGGACAGGAAGGTCAGGCCAGAGAGCAGGGTGGGCTGAGGTTATGTGAGGCAGAGGCTCCAGGGCAACCTCAAGGGACAGGACAGTCCTGCCAGATGTGCTCTGTTAATGAGGGAAGCTGCAAAGTGTCTCCCCACAGTGTAGGGGGAGGAGAAGGAAGCTGTTGACTAGCCAGAAAACAACAGTGGAAAGAAACACTGACCTATAAGTGGGCAAATGTTGCCCACTCAGCCTGCCAATCCCTGCAGACACCCCAGCCAGCACCCAGCTAAGGCTTGCATGGTCCCTGGCCCCCCACCACCACTGAAGACCTGATTCAGAGCTACCTGGTCAGGAGCATTAGTAGTAGCAACCTTAAGTTCCAAACACTGCCCCAGTTCCCCCCCACATATACACACAAAACCCTAGAGACCCACTCTCCAGATTCAGCTAGGATCAGCTCCCCTCCCTCTCCCTCCCCTAGTACCTGTCCTGAGGCTGATGACTAGTCGTCATGGTTCCGGGTGTTCCGGTGTTCGGTGTTCCTGGTTGTGCCTGGTTGACGGCTCCCTCCCTCTGGCGCTTGCTGGGGACAGAGGAAGATTGAGGCCCTATCTGGCCCTGCTTCCACACTACCCTGGGCCCTCCCTCCTCAGACTCTTAAAAGCAGGGACACAGAACAGGCAAAGGAAGGGTTCCCTACGACTTTCTAGGCCTTGCCCTTCATTCAGGACTACTCAACCCGACCCCACCTGGCCCTTGGGCCCACCAAGCCAGTCCTGTCGCTCTTCTGCCTGGCTTGGGCTGCACCTGGCTCCCGGCCTGGCTGCTGCCACTGCTATTTTTATCTAGCAGCCGAAGCAGTTTATAAGCTTGGAAATCCAAGGGTGGGGAGGAGAGAAGGAGGAGGTAGTGTGATTGAGAGGCAGGGAAAGACAGTTAAACACAGGGAAGAGATGAAAGGGGTCAGGGACAGCCAATGACAGTGGAAGGAGATTGGAAGCCAGGAGGCAAAGTGAAGAGACAGAGCAGAGAGGAGGAGGAAAAAAACAGAGCAGAAAAGAGATCTGTAGGACTGCAGACCTTTCAGTGCCTGCTGTAAGGTCCGAGCTCTCTTAACTCTCCTGGATGTTCCCAGAATCTAGGCTGTGGGGGGTGTGCTTCTGAGAGCCTGTTCTCTCCCCAAGTAACCAGGACTTACCAGGCTCTGCAGGTAGTTTCTAAGTCCGTTCTTTCCAGTCACTGCCCAAGGGCTTCCTAGTTCCCAACCAGTTTTCCAAGAATATGTTTCATAATGGAGGTGGGGACAGAGCCCTAGCCACAGCCTGACATGTCCCTGTCTTTGACGCCCCCACCCAGCCTATTCCAGGGTCACCCCATTCCCTCCTTTTCAGTTCCTCTCTGACTCAGTCCCAGGCCACTATCCTCTTCCCCTTTCTGACAGTGGCCTTGAATCGGAAGAGGGGTACGCAGGCCCAAACTGAATGGTCCCAAAGTTCTAGACAACCCCTCAGTGTCCCTCTTTGTGTTCCACTTGTGGAGGGGATGCACCCCAGCACCAACAGACTAAACAGTTTTCCCTGTTACAGGGAAGCAGGAACAGCACACACAGGCACACCATGTGGACCCAGCTCTGGGACCAGGGATTCTGGTCCTTGCCTGGGGCTGGCTGCCAGCTCTCCTTGCTCACCGGATTGGTAGTCTTGCAGCTGGCAGAAGGGTGGGAGCCAAAGGGACCTGGGAACTCCCTAGAAGGGAGTCCTGGCTCAGACTCAGGCAGTGGGCCTTGTCTGCCGTGTCCTGGGTGAAGGTCCAGAGTGAAAAAGGTGGCAAAGGGTTTATCGGGAGGGAATCCCTTGGGCCTCACAGGTCTCATTCAGCAGTCTCAGAAGCCAAGCTGCTGCAGAAGCACAAGTGCACAAGGGAGCAGGGAGAGATAAAGGAGGGCCACCCTGTAGCTGAAAGGTAAGACAGCTGAGAGATAAGCAGGCTGCTCAGCAGGGGAGCCGGTGCAGCCAGGTCAGCCTCAGGTGCAGCCAGAGCTCCAAGCTGCCGCCCCCCACCCCCGCCCCAGATAGTCACCAAGAGACCCTCAATGGCTTTTCTACCCTGTGGTGAGCAAACCCCAGCCTGTCCAAAGGTCATGCTCAGTCCCCAGCACACCTCTGGCTTGGGGGTGGGGGTGGGGGTAGGCAAACCTACACACCTCCAAATGGAGAGGGAGGGCTCCTTTGATCCTTTCAAGGAATATCTGCCAAGGATCTCTGCATGCCAGCCAGGCACCGGTTTAAGCACTAGGGGCAGAGTGGTAAACAACAATATTGGTGTCTGCCTAGAAGGACTAGGTAGGTGGCTTTGCTGGGGATGAGGAAAACCTGAGGACTCAGGGAAGGGGCACACTGTACACAGCCTCCACCACTCCCATACATAGTTAAGAACAAGAGTAACCTCCAGACAGCCAGATGGAGAGGGGTAACGCCCCTTCCTCCAGAAAACTGGCCTAGGCTAGCATTTCTAAACAAGCATGCATGTGCACACACACACACACACACACACACACACACACACACACACACCAATCCCTCTCAGCAATCCCTACCCGAGTCCTGGGCACCAGTCAAGGCCATGGTCAGCCCTTGGATCCTGCCCACATGCTAACATTCCAGTTCCCTGGCCTCGGTGTTTTGTTCTCATCTCTGCCAGGGATCTGATAGCACCTCAGGGCCTCTTCGGCCATGCCTTGACCTGCAGAGATGCAGCCCTGAAGGCAACCACCAAACAGCTCCTCCCTGTCCCAGGGCCCCGACACCTCTCATGAACGCCCCCATACCTCTCATGAACCTTAACTTCTAGATCTATCTTGTGCTAGCTACATCAAATCTCCAGTTGCTATGAGCAGTTGGCCCCTCTTTCCCTCCCAGCTACCCAGCAACTAGGACTAGGCAGTCTCTATGGAACAGATAGAGCCAAATGAGGTTCATACAGCTTGAACCTCTGCAAAAGCTGTAGAGCAAGTGAGTGGAGGAGCCAGCATGCAAAGTCAATGCACAGATTAGTCTAGATTGCTGCTCAGGCGGGGAAGGAGAAGTAAAAACTGTTTCCCAGCTAGCTCTGCAGACTGGGAGGTGGGGACCTCCGTTCCAACTAAAAAACAAAAACAAGTTGAAGATGGAGTCCTTAGCCCTACAATAATTTCAGGTTTAAGGTACCTCGCGGTCACTCCACCACACACACATACACTGTGCAGAGATCACACCGGCAGGAGAAAACGAACAGACTAGGGGGTACCAAGAGGAGGGGCGGGTCAGCGGCCCTGGGTGGGGTGAGGAGCAGGGGGCGGAACCAGCCTTCACCAGAGGCTCTCCCCTGGGAAGAAAGCCTGGGTGTGTTCGGTCCTTGTCCTGTCACTCATTACTCTGGGCGAGTAACCGAGGACGCAGGACGCGCCCAGGAAAGGGAGGTCGAGGACACGATGTTTACTAGGTAAAGGGGCAGCTCCCTCGCCTCCATTCGGATTCTCCCATCCCCATCCTCCTCCTCGGTGTGCAAAGGGAGGCCCGGGCCCTCTCCAGTCCTTACAGGATAGATCCGATCAGGATTAGGCCTGCACTCGCCGATCCCCTACGGAGGTCAGTTTGGCCACAGTCGCTTTCGGGCTCAGGAAGACAGGCCGCTCAGGTCCCTGCACCAGCCGGGGCTCCACAGAACGATCCCCTGCCCCGAGCCCCGAGCCATGCGCGCCACGTGCTGCGCCGTTCTGCACCGCGTGGGGGCCGCACCCCGCGTCCCCGCTCCGGGCCGCGAAGGTGTCAGGCCTGTCCGCCCTTTCCCTCTGCCCAGCTGTCCCTGGCACGTCCCGCCCTGGGCCCCCGGGGAGCACCTGCTGGAGAAGGAGGCCTCCAGCGCGGAGATCAGCGCACTCTGCTAGCCCGCCGCTTCCCGCGCCAGCCGGAGCCCTTTCAAATGCGTCCTCACTGACCCCGCCCCCAGCCCGCGTGGCCACCTGTCACGCCATCTCCAATGAAGCCCGCGTGAGATCCTCCGTGGGTTGAGGCTGGAACTTCAAGGAAGGTTGCCTCTTGGAATTGGCTGTGCTAAAAACATGCAGTGTACTTGGCATGCTTTTACTTGCTATTATCTTTCTGACTGTCACTGTATCATGGACTTTCAGGGGCCCAGAAAGCACCTGGTGTCCTTGACACTGCTGTCACTGCCTTTATTGAAATCTTTTAATTATCCTAGTATGCAGGAAGAGTTCTTAGGAACTCAATCACCAAAGACAACTTTGCCTCCAGATGCATCACTATTAATGAAAGCTTGCTGGAAAGTCCAGGGAATAACAGATTTCTAGAAGAGAGACATAGATGAGTAAATATAGATAGAAGAAGGGTTTCTTGGTATTCATTACAATTCATGGATAAATTGGCAAGATTAAGACCACCTTGGTGTCTTTTGATAAAAGATCAACAAGAGAGCATTAAAAGGCAACTACATACTGTAGTTAAGGATTGGAAAAATAGCTGGGAAAGATGGCTTCATAAGTCCCTAACATGAAATGATTTTTTAGGATCTAAGGGGTTAAAGAATGACTTGGAAGCCCGGTGGCCCACTACAAATAAGCAAGGAATGTTATCAAATAGTTAAAAATAAAATATCATGCACAGTTGATATTGAAAGTACTTGGTGGTTTAAGGTCGTTTTGACCTAAAAAACACAAAACTAAGTAGAGTTCTAAGTACGTAATAAAAACTGGTAGTAAAAACCATAGTATCATAAAGCAGGAGTTTGCTGACTAGTACCAGGTTGATAAGATAGAGAAATGTGTTTTGGCTATATATGAAGGTTAGAAAAATTGTTTTACTTTACTGAAAATCTTAGAAGGTAACTAATTACAGAATAGTCACGCTGATGATGAACTTTTACAATCTTTGCTGTATATATTTCAAATCTTGCAGCTGCAAAAATACACTCAGACTTTCATTAAGCTCCTTTGTGTCTGTTTGTCATTCGCCGACTCCTTGTCCACCCTCTCGACGACCCTGTTCCCATCGGACTAAACTGCCCCGGTCTGGGCTGGTCCGTTGCAGGTGGCGCCCGAACAGGGACCCGGAGGGTAAGCTATCTCTCCCCTTTTCTCTCTTTTTAATAATTTCAGGCAAGGATAGGACCTCGTCAGGGCGCTGCAGGCCCACTGGTAAAGGAT